AATTTCAATTTTGAAATAACAAATATCACTTAAAATATATCTCATATTAATCCAATTTTGTTTATAAATAATAACAAGAAATAAAATAGGATTAGCATTTTTTATTTTGAACGTTAATTATATTTATATATTGTTAAACTTAACACAAGATATTGGTATTATTAATTACTTATGCTCTTCATGTGGCAGTGTTTTGAAATATTCATGATGCACAGGAGGTATATAAGGTAATAGCTGCTGCATATCCTTATATTTTTCGTATGTAATAGGCTTGGCATCGTGATGGAAATTGGACTTACACCACTTTCATAATCAATGGTTACGCAATTTCTTTTACCGGCCAATTTTAAACTGAACAAAGCATTGGCATTTTTTAAGATATTAAATACTAACTAGTTATAAACAAAAAGTTTACACTAAATTAAGCATAAATTACGTGATATCTCATTTTCTTTAAAAAAGGACTTACACCACTTTCAAAATAAACGGTCCATATGATCGGAGAGAACACGCTTTTATATCCATATGCATATAGACGAACGCATTAGCGTCTGATCTGTATTAACGCGGTTCGACAAGCTAATATCACCGTTTTCGTAGCGCTTGTTCGAATACGTGGAACATGCGTGTCGATACTAATTTCAAAGAACGTCCGCGAATCGCGAAACTGCGAGTCGCATTTTATCGAGGTGTTAATAAATAATTGCAACTGTCACAATTGTCGAAGCTGTACATTCTGTTTCAAACTCGGCCGAAATCTAATATGCCTCGACGGTGCACCCGACCGCAGAGCATCGATATCGGGAAACGTTCTTTTAACAAAAATAGTAGAGAATACATGTATGTTCTACGAAGAAATATATATATATATATATATATATATATATATATATATATATATATATTTGATAACGCAAATATCGAATGCAAAAGTCGCGAAGTAACGCATCGAATCGGAGAACGTTTATACTCTTTCGCGGTCGGTCTCTATGGCTGAGCAAAGAAATTCCGTTTCCATTTCCCGCTTGTTTAAAATCCACTCTCCGTTCCGCCGGTTATTCCGCAAACAAACGCAATTAACTGAGCAAACGAAATCTCCGCCGACCTTCGCAAACCATTTAATTTCGAGTGTTTGCGCGCGTTGCCAATGCAAACGTTGCGAATAGCAGTTATTAGTTTCTCTGGTTTTACCTTCACAAACGTTTCCGCCTCATCGCGGTTTACGCGTTCCCGATCGAATCGTTGTCTCCCCTCGCAAACATCATCCATTTCCGGAGCAATCCAGGAGAAATATCCTCGCGAGGCTACCGCTCCACGTTCGTTCTCCAGCGACCGAGTTGGATCGAGTATCGATCGAGTTCGATCTAGGCTCGCGCGTGGATCGCCTCTAACGATCCGCGGAACTCTACGCCGATGGGAAACGGTTTCCTCTCGAAGAACGTGGACAACAATTTCCATAGAAATTCTCCGCGTAAAAGGACTCTCGAGTCACGAGAAAAGTAAATTCGCGTAGAATCTCGCGGGAGCCTCCGCTTCATCGATATACGTCAACTCGAGTTTCACCGCCCGAGTCTCGGTCACCTTTATTCGCGTTCTCTCCCTATTTGTCATTTTTATTAATCCCCTTGAACTTTTTTACGAAACTCGCGCATATCACGCTCGTTTCTGTTTAAACACGATTTTTTTCGACGAGACGCGTTAGCGCGTCAAAGTTACGTTCCGATTTTACGAATGCGTCGAACAGCGATGCAATTTTACCAGCAGTACAATTTTATTATTTTACAACTAGCGCGCGCGTTGAGTGGTAATTAAATTCTGCTACTTTACGAATCGTGCGTCAAATAGCGATTAAATTTTACCACCACCGCGAACTGAAATATACGTGTAAATGGCAAATGGTACGTACAGACTGCTCGGTTCGATACCTGCGAATCTTCAGAATTTACAAGCACCGCTAATAGGTTGCCGTTATTCGAGCTACCACATTTGCTAGATAATTTAGTTATAACGTTCCTCGGGGAAATGTTCGCGCGCGCAACGAACGTCGTTTATTACAGTAATATCCCGTCGCTCTTTACGAAGTTCAGAATTGAATTCGGAGCGTTACGCGCATTTAATTCGCCGCTTGAAATTTCAGTTCAACTTCACGCTCTCGCCATTCCGGTCGCTCGTTAATCCATTAACCTTTACGGGCATCGCGTCTACGCGGTCGCGCAACGCGTTACGTGTGCATATTCGAGAGTTCGAATCCGACAAATTGAAATTTCTCGGAGTCACGTTCCACGAAATATTTCGTTGCGCGCGTCGTCGAAAGTTCTCGTCTCACTTCTCGTAGTTTCTTCGCGGAATTCCGCGGAACACGTGTGCGAAAGTCGGGAGAATACGAAGCGGCACCCAGGCGGAAATCGGGGTGGTTCGCGGAAGTCGTAGAAAACGGTGTCACTGAGTCGGCCTTCGGGGGGCTGTCACACCAACGCGAGGACAGGGATCGTCGGCCACCACCATTTACATCCCCTTCCTGTTCGCGTCAGCGGAAACATCCAAGGACCACGATACTCGCATCACGAAAGCCGCGTGAGAACTGCGAACAGGAGCGGAGCTCGCGGCTCGCGCATCCTCTCGGGTCCTCCGCCTCTCTCTCTCTCTCTCCCTCTCTCTCTCGCTCTCTCTCTTCTTCTCTTTCTCTCTCCTACGTGCTACCCTTTCTGCGGTGACCTTTCTCTTCGAAGTGCCACAGGCCACAGACACTTATCCCTTATCTCCTTTGCGTGCCCGTTACTGTGACAATACGATCGGAAAGCCCCGCGTGAAACATCTTACATCGATTTCCCCCGGAGAATGAATTTCGGTCGTCGGAGATTAATCTTCCCGTGCACGGTCAACGAAACGGACAATTAATTTGGCCGATGTCGCGTTTCAGCCGTTGTCGTGCCACGAAACGAGAGCAAACGGAATCGTGTTTCGCGTGGCTACCGTTGATGCTTTCCTGGCTGGAAAAATTGTTCAATCTCTGTTACGATGTCGGGTCGATTTTGTACATTCTTTAAACGTATTTAGAGCCTGATCGGTTCCTCAAGATTATTCGGAAAACGAGCGTCTACGTAGCTCCTGCGTCCCGCAATTAGCACAATTTCGATGTCGCATACGCGGTTTAACGATCGATATCTGCACGCAAATCGGGACACACGGGAAACGCGAACTCTGTTTTTTGTTCTAGGAGATTGCGAACAACGGGGAAGTTATAATCGTCGCGGACCTGCCCTTTTAACACTTTATCGTCCGGTCGTGGTTGAGGCTGCCACTCAGTAAGGACTGGCTTAGTCGCGCGCGCATTTGCTCCCAGTACCGGCTAAATTTTCGCTATTCATTGTGTTGTGCTTATTCCTTTAAAAATAATAATAAATAATAATAATTATTATAATTATAATTCATAAGGATATGGGGAGGTCAGCATACAGGAGGTCAGCTACTAACAAAACAGTAAAGAAGCGAAAACCGTCGATAGCTAAAAGTCGATTAATAGGCTATCGGTCGATAAGCATTGGCAATCGAAAAGCCGATTGATAGGCTAGCGATCGATAAACATTGGCAATCGAAAAGCCGATNAACTAGCGCGCGCGTTGAGTGGTAATTAAATTCTGCTACTTTACGAATCGTGCGTCAAATAGCGATTAAATTTTACCACCACCGCGAACTGAAATATACGTGTAAATGGCAAATGGTACGTACAGACTGCTCGGTTCGATACCTGCGAATCTTCAGAATTTACAAGCACCGCTAATAGGTTGCCGTTATTCGAGCTACCACATTTGCTAGATAATTTAGTTATAACGTTCCTCGGGGAAATGTTCGCGCGCGCAACGAACGTCGTTTATTACAGTAATATCCCGTCGCTCTTTACGAAGTTCAGAATTGAATTCGGAGCGTTACGCGCATTTAATTCGCCGCTTGAAATTTCAGTTCAACTTCACGCTCTCGCCATTCCGGTCGCTCGTTAATCCATTAACCTTTACGGGCATCGCGTCTACGCGGTCGCGCAACGCGTTACGTGTGCATATTCGAGAGTTCGAATCCGACAAATTGAAATTTCTCGGAGTCACGTTCCACGAAATATTTCGTTGCGCGCGTCGTCGAAAGTTCTCGTCTCACTTCTCGTAGTTTCTTCGCGGAATTCCGCGGAACACGTGTGCGAAAGTCGGGAGAATACGAAGCGGCACCCAGGCGGAAATCGGGGTGGTTCGCGGAAGTCGTAGAAAACGGTGTCACTGAGTCGGCCTTCGGGGGGCTGTCACACCAACGCGAGGACAGGGATCGTCGGCCACCACCATTTACATCCCCTTCCTGTTCGCGTCAGCGGAAACATCCAAGGACCACGATACTCGCATCACGAAAGCCGCGTGAGAACTGCGAACAGGAGCGGAGCTCGCGGCTCGCGCATCCTCTCGGGTCCTCCGCCTCTCTCTCTCTCTCTCCCTCTCTCTCTCGCTCTCTCTCTTCTTCTCTTTCTCTCTCCTACGTGCTACCCTTTCTGCGGTGACCTTTCTCTTCGAAGTGCCACAGGCCACAGACACTTATCCCTTATCTCCTTTGCGTGCCCGTTACTGTGACAATACGATCGGAAAGCCCCGCGTGAAACATCTTACATCGATTTCCCCCGGAGAATGAATTTCGGTCGTCGGAGATTAATCTTCCCGTGCACGGTCAACGAAACGGACAATTAATTTGGCCGATGTCGCGTTTCAGCCGTTGTCGTGCCACGAAACGAGAGCAAACGGAATCGTGTTTCGCGTGGCTACCGTTGATGCTTTCCTGGCTGGAAAAATTGTTCAATCTCTGTTACGATGTCGGGTCGATTTTGTACATTCTTTAAACGTATTTAGAGCCTGATCGGTTCCTCAAGATTATTCGGAAAACGAGCGTCTACGTAGCTCCTGCGTCCCGCAATTAGCACAATTTCGATGTCGCATACGCGGTTTAACGATCGATATCTGCACGCAAATCGGGACACACGGGAAACGCGAACTCTGTTTTTTGTTCTAGGAGATTGCGAACAACGGGGAAGTTATAATCGTCGCGGACCTGCCCTTTTAACACTTTATCGTCCGGTCGTGGTTGAGGCTGCCACTCAGTAAGGACTGGCTTAGTCGCGCGCGCATTTGCTCCCAGTACCGGCTAAATTTTCGCTATTCATTGTGTTGTGCTTATTCCTTTAAAAATAATAATAAATAATAATAATTATTATAATTATAATTCATAAGGATATGGGGAGGTCAGCATACAGGAGGTCAGCTACTAACAAAACAGTAAAGAAGCGAAAACCGTCGATAGCTAAAAGTCGATTAATAGGCTATCGGTCGATAAGCATTGGCAATCGAAAAGCCGATTGATAGGCTAGCGATCGATAAACATTGGCAATCGAAAAGCCGATAAATAGGCTAGCGGTCGATAAAGTGTTAAGTAGAAACAGCGAGCAAAGGACAGACGCATCGTTGTACGCGCGTACAATGGCCTCCCCGCATAAAGAATCCGCCGTTCCACGGCTCGCTGTGCAGCTCGCTGCGTCGCGAATATCCGTGTAGAGCCGAGGAACATTTTACCGCGGCCTTTAACAGAGAATTTACGAGAACGTGGACCGGGCTGATGCCGCCTGCGAATCTTATCTCGGAGAGCTTTCCGGGAAGCGGGAAACCTAGGGTCGCGCGTTACGACACTCTCGGGGAAGATTCGATTCTTTGCTCGACGACGAACCGACGTATAACTGCGAGGATGATCGGCCGGATACACCCCCGAGAGAGCGAGGTAAATTATATTCGACGATTTTGATTTACCTCCGACATCCGAACGTTCCCGTTTCAATGAAAGGTACATAGGCATCCGCGCGATGTAAGCATGCATGCACGTACATGGAGAAACGGTTGTACGATCGATACACAGACGCGGCTCCGCTTCCTCTTTTCGTCGTCTCGAGCAACGCGTCGAAAATAAACACAAGCTCGTCCGCGTAATACAATTTTAACGAGTGCGCGTCGCATACGAAGCACGTCGGGCCAATAAAGTTCGCCGGCGTATAAAATATCGCGATCGAAAAATCGCGGCGTATAAAATATCCCGATAGAAAAATAAGTCGGCGGCGAGCTTGATTTTAATTAAAATCCCTACGGCGCGAATAAAAGATCCATCGATTAAACGAGTTCGTCAAGTTTTCGCTCGGCTCAGAAATTTTAATATTCCGGCCGGTAGATTGCGAGGAAAATTTTCTCTCGGCTCGTTCGATTTTCGTTCCCGAGAGGAATTCCGGCAGAGCCGATGCACGAAAAGAGAGGAGAAAAAGCTCGGGCTCGCGTCCTCCGCGCTCGCGACTCGAAATCCGGAAACGAGCGTTTCCGGCACGAGGATGTCCCTGTTAGCCGAGGAAAAATGCACGAGCTCCCATAATGGCTGCCGCGATGCCGATTGCGCTCTGTCTAGTCTAGATACTTCGTTCGTCGCAGATTCAACGGGCGATCGGAACTTTCTGCCGCGCATCTTCGAGTCTCCGACAAAATCCTTCGGATTTCCCTGGAACGTCGTTCGTCGCTCGATTCACGACTACTTTGCACCCCTTGGCCCCCGCGTAGTCACCCTCGTCGTAAATAGCAACGGGTCTTCGAGCATTCCGTGCTCGAACTTGCCGGAAGTTTCAGCGACTGGTTCTCGAGAATCTATTTAGCACTTTTATCATCGATCTGCGATGACCGACATTCCTATTCCTGGGAACCGAACGCCTTTTTAAAAATTCAATCTACGTCGGCATTTTCGAGAAGCTGAACGAATCACTTTAAGGAATGGCGTAAGAAATTTCGAGACGTTGCGATATAGGCCCACGGTATCGTAGGAAATACCAAAAATAATAAACGACCTCGAGTACCCCGACGACCAAGATACGGGTCCTTCGACTTTAGAGATCAAGGTTTGTCCGCTCAAAGATCAAGGGTAGCAAGGCTAACGTTTAGGGTCGTTTATTCGACCGCTTCGACCACTTGCAACATGTCTTAACTTTCTTCCAAACATCATCTGGTAAACCAATCCGAGATTCTCGCGAAAGCTCGAGCAGTTTGGTCTCGAAATTTAACCATTTAGTTACATATTTTGCTTTCTAAGTTGCCCGAATATCAATATCGATTTGGCCATAGTTTCTTGGTCGAGGTTATCTTAAATTTTTGTGGAGGATCGCAAGAAAAATGTTACCCGTCGTAATTCCCGATACATCTTCGACGAGAGATACTTCGAGACACTCGGAACGAGTCGTCGCCATGTAATCCCGATCCAATAAGACTTTTACAAGTTTTCCCAAGGCGTTACCGGCTTATAGGTTTATTTCTTTTTCCAATTTACTGGCGGGAGAAGTTCCTTAGCAGCGAACCCGACGTAATTCCCGATCAACGTCAGAAGCAAACCGATTTGCCCTAATGAAATTGTAGCGAGTGGAGCACCGTCGCAGACTCGTCGGAAACGGACTATTGGCAAAGCAATCAATTACGTCGACGGAAGGTATCCGCGATCGGATGCTATTGGACGTTATTGCCAGTGAATTAATCCGTACCGCTTACGCGTTTTAATAAGCGCCGGCGACGACGTGCCTCGGCGCGCAGCCATTATCGTTGTCATCCGGTGTGAAATTTGTCCAGCGACGATTCGGAAAAATATTTTGAAAATTATTGAAAATGTCACGAATCGGGATTAAGATCGCGCGAGATCTTCGCGGATGTTCACGGCTACCTTCTCTTTCGGCCGAGCGTAGATGGATCGAGTAAACGCGTCGACGGTGCGAGGCAATTGCTGGGAAAGAAGCTGACGTCCGGGCAATTTAACGTACTCGAGGCTGGCCACTTCTGTTCGAGTATCGATCGAGGCGCGAAAAGGGTCTGTTTCTTGTTATTCCCTCCTTTCGAACTCATCTTCTTCGATGCGCATCTTATTCGATAGAATTCTGCGTTACGTAAACGCGACGTTTCCCGAAGTTCAATTTTGTAGCGGTATCTTCGCTCACCGAAATTTTTCGCGAATTATTCGTACGAACTATCGACTCCCGTATTATTAAAATCTGCGAGAGAAGTTTACACGACGCGCACGATACAATATACCGTAACAGCGAAATTAAAAGCGTAGAGAATTCGAAAGTTCGCCCGAATCGTTTATCGTATTAAAGTTTTGCGCGAGCCGATTTTTCACGTACCGAACTTTATCGTCGACGAGTTCCATTAATTTTTTACGTTAGCATGTTTATCATCGGAGAATGTTCGACGCTCGAGATTTCCGGACGAAACGAATTCGTTACCGTGGATCCCATTTCGCGCGGACGTTTTTAACATCTCTAAAATGAATTCCGACCTGCTAAGAGCAAGACTCGCTGCCATAGCGAGCGGTAAACTTTTAATAAATCTGAAAACTTTTTGAATTAGGACCGCGTTCCCCGCAGCGTGCCTCGGAGCGTGCTCCGCGAGAACGTTAAAGCTTCGCGGAAACGAACCGAACTTTGCATAGAATGCGAAGAATGCGCGCGATTTATGTCCGGATAGGACACAGTTCCGCGCAGATTTGTGCTCGCGATCGCGAATACCTTGAAATTTAACCTTGCCGAATCGATCGCGCGATCGACGGGGTAGAAAACTCGATTCGGGCTCGCGGATAGTTACGGAGGTGTCGCGAGCGAGCGACCGATCTTCGGAATTGAAACGATTTTAGAAGAGATCGATTTTTACGGAGCAATCGTCGCGCTGCACACAAAGGAACGATACTTGTTCCAAGATACGTTCTTTCCTTTCGCTCAGAAATTCTGTCTCTGTTCGCGAGCTCGCACAGAAAAAGGAGAGAGAGTTCTTCCCACTGAAATCTCGGCGATCCGATGAATCGACTAATCTAGGATGTTCGCGACGACCGGACGGGCATTCGTCGAAATCTTGTGCTCGTTGTTCAGATTTCCGTAAAATTAAACAGCGCGCGAAAGAAGTTCTCGGAGTGGATTCTCCCTCGGAGAAAAATCGTCGTCGGACGATCCAGCGAGATTGCGAGATTGCGAGATAGCGTTGGGGTCGGCAACCTCTCTATTCATGGGGTTTCCGGGCAATTCTTTTTACGGGTATACACGCGTGCTGGATAGGGAGACGGTTTCACCCTTGTTGTTGGCACAAGACGTAGGCTTCGCGCGTCAACGAGAAACGAGATCCCTTCTTTCTCATTTTCTTCCGGTGAGATTCGTTTCTCCGTATCTTTCTCGCCTTGAAAATTGTAAATTCATCGAGCTCGACGCACGCCGTACGCGATCGTAAAATGCAGCATGGTATTTCGTAGCAAATAATTAACACGACCGAACTGGCCCGAATCCATTTGTCCGTTCGTAATAACAATAATTGGGGCGCTACAGAGTACAGCCGGACGGTATCGCAAAATGGTCCACAAAATCAAATTATAGCGAGTTCAGCGTATCCTGTGTTTCAATATCAATTAAAATTCTGCTCGGGAGACAAAGCTTCTCTCAGCATCGTCGATAGTTCGACGATATCTTGTCGCATCTTTTCCGCTTCGTTCTGCTCGGCCTCTCTATTTTTCTTCCGGAAATATCGTTGAACCAACTGAGACATTACCAGAGAAAAGTGGCGGTCTTTCTCCTTTTCCGCGGTTTCCTGTTGAAAAGAAAATAGAAGGCGAAGCGTCTTTTACCAAAATCGACGTACCTATGCGACTTACAAAATTCCGAACGCGTTAATAACAAGGTATAAATTTTGTGCAACTCTCTACTAACGATGAACCAACAATGATTGATGTTCCAGCGTGCTCGTTTCCCTTCCCGTGGTTTCAAAAGTATCTTCACGTACTCGGCGATCGGCTGGATTCCAATCGGCGTCGGGATAATGTTGAACGGCGGCGGAAGGGCTGTCGTCAGCATGAAGTCCACGTAAGTCTAAAAAACAGAGATTCGTAAGAATTCCGGCGTTCCGTTTGATAATCCTAATTTTTCGAACCTCCGTACGGCCGAACGCCCACTCCTCGATCATGTTTTCCGTGACACGCGTCATAGTGTTCGACATGCACGCGATCAGCATGTTCAGAATCAGTACCACCGCGATGAACGTGTACGCTGGAACGCGAGTAGCGATTAATCGTCGCCGAACCGATCGCGGAAAGCGATAAATTTTCCGAAATGTTTTCCGACGCGGCTACACGTTTCGCTTATTCGCGTCTCCGTTCGCGTCTCGCGAAAGGATGGAACATTACCGGCGAACGCTATGTAGCCGATCAGTTCGGTGAACGAGTGATGATTAATGACGCTCTCGTATTTCGATTCCCCCGGAAGATTCTCAATTATCACGTCCGCGCTTTCCATCGGACTCATGCAGAAGAACGCCCAGAAGAAGGTCTTCAGAGCGGCCATAAGACCGACGAACGAGCTCACTTGTTGCGTCTTGATCTTCGATTCGTCGTCGATCTGCACCATTCCGTCGTAATACTGGTAAAGCTTGCACGTTCCTGGAAACGTTCGACGGTTTTATGCGTTCGATCGTCGCGTCGGGAATCGATCGAGACCGGGAATCGATCTACCAACGGTGAAGGCGATCAAAATGATCGAGTAGAGAGCGGCGAACTTGAGGACGTCGTAGATCATTTTCCCTAAAGAGAGCTGCAAAGGACCCAGATGGTAGTCGAGCAGGCAAAAGTACAGCAACTTTAAATAAGCCATTATCGTCGCCAGGCAGAAAATTCCTTCGGCGATTAGCGTGGGATCGAACATGTTCCAATACTTTCTCTCCAATTCGAGCTGTCCGTTTCTATTCACGTCTATGGCGGCGGTGATCCAGTAGAGGAAGGTCAGAACGAAGAGGAACAACATCACCGTTTCGAACCTGAAACGAGATTTCGTTCGTTATTAAATAACCACTACCCTAGATTCTTTAACAAGTTAGAAATTAGCGTCGAGTCTTTGCGGAAATATTCCTATAAAGAGTTAAATCTTCCCCCCTTTCTCTCTCTCTCTCTTTCTCTCTGCGCGCGTTGAGCGTTCACATGAATTTATTTTGACGCTTTATATTCGCGAACGATGCGAAACAATTCGTATACGCAAGAGCAGTCGCGACAATGTTACAGCAAATTACAATACTCCGCGAAAGGGATCGATTGTTTCGAAAACTGAGAAACGATCGCGCCCCGGATCGAGATTCCCGTAAACTGTAAATAACGGCTAATTGGGTGGCCGATATCGTACCAGTACCAATACTTGGAGAAGAACCGTCTCGGTCCGTGGATCAGACAGAGACGAATCGCCGCCCAGGTATACGAGAGGATGTAAATCGCCAGGAACCAAACGTAGACTGCAGAAGCGACCGGCGATCAGAAGCCGAACGGTAACCTGTCGGTTCGCTCGGTTCCCGATCTGTCAACGTCAGGAATCAGGGGATCGTTTGTATACCGGTGTTAGGCGGCCCGCGAAGCTGTTGGGTCTTGTCGGTGTGCGATTGCAGGAATACCACGAACAGGAACAACAAGTAGCTCGCGATCGACGAGACGAACTTATTAACCGGTGACTGGACGAACTTCGAGATCTTCGAGTTCGGCAGGAACAGCACGATCACGAGGATCACCGGCAAGAAGAAGATACGCAGCAGTATGTGCACCAGCTTCGACCAGTTGCTCATCACCTTCCACGCGTACCAGTCTTCGATCCATTTGCTTTTCACCAGCTGAAAGCACGGACGAAGCCGTGAGTGAATTCCCTTCGAACCGATCTCGCGTCGCAATTTCGTCGCGCGAGGACGGTTTAAGAATCGCTGACCTGCTGTACGTTCGGATGAGCGACGAAACTCCTCTGTCTGTGGTGCAGGGCGAACAGCAGACGAGGGAAGTCGAATTTCGCCGAGACGGCGAATCCCGTCGACTGTTTCAAAATGATCTCCACCTCGTCGATCGTTCGCGCGCAGTCGATCAGTTTGGTCGCGAATTCGGAGACGCTCTGCGGAAGAAACGTTGCTCGATCAACGATCTCGCGTCCGCTGCCGGATGAGACGCGACCGAACCTTGGCGAGCCCTTTGTATTCGTGATGGAATTCTTTGTTCGAATTGGCCGCTTCTTTCAGCTCGTAAGATATATTGAACGCTTCGAGAATTGGGTCGTCGACCGTCTGGCAGATGTACGCCGGGTTCGTGATCGCGCTGTACGTGAATAATCGCATTTTCTCGATCGTCAGCCAATCGAATCTCGTCCGTTCCTCCCTGCACGGGCGAACAACGGTATCATTAATTTCATCCACCCCTTTCGTCCTTCGCGTCCGACCGCCCCACAATGCGACCCGCGCGAAAACTTTGATGAGCCATTGTCCAGGCGTGAATATTAGCGGCGACGCAACAGGATCGTTCGTCGAGGCCGAAACTCATAAATTGTCTCGAACGAAGCTACCCCTTTCGCCCTCGCGCCGGCAGCCGAGTCCTTTTTTAAGGCCGGACGTTCCGAAACGATTTTACGATATTTCTCGGACACCGGAAATCGTGAAAGGAATCGTAGCAAGGGGATACCCGGTTGCCGGTACAGAAGTCAGATATTCTGTTGCTTCGAGCATTGTTCGGTCGAACGATGACGATAAAGGTCCGTACGCGCAGTCCTCGCATTTGCAGTTCGACGGATGCGGCTTCGAGATGCTGTGGTGTCTCTTCAGGAGGTACTCTATCATCTCGAAATGACCGCACCGTGCAGCCACCAGCAGAGGAGTCGCGTTGTCCGGGAAATCGGCGCTTTGCGTGACTCCCACGTGCTCCAGACCCTTCGTTAATTTATTTAATTTATTCAATATCAGCGCGACTATTTTCTGATCGTTGATCACGATCGCGTGCAGGTGAGCGTCTCCCGGGTCGATGTCTGGCGAGGACAAGAGATACTCCACCATCGCGGTGTCTCTGTTGTGGACCGCGATGTGCAGCGCCGTGAAACCCTGCACAGAAAAGTTCACGCATATATTACAAGTACGATTTTGGGAACGCTATATATTCTACCGACATCGATCGAATTAAACGGAGAGCCCCGAGTCGGCGGAGACGATTCGGCTTTTGTCGAGCTTACGAATGAAATCTGTTGCGATCGATGCAGAACGCTTTCCGTAAAAATCCATCGGCGAATAAAAGCGATAAGCGTTAGAATTCCAATCGGAACAACGTTTTCGCGTGCCTAGAAAATGTGCTCGATTCTCGGACGACGTCGAGATTCCTATTGTCCAAAGATTCGCGCTTATCAGCGTGGAACGTTCGATCGTTCGGCTCGCAAATCGCGAGAGTTTCCCGGCTTTCCACGAGCATGGAATTCCGCTCCTCGTGAGATCGACTTTCGAACCTCTTCTGCCTATCCGGGCTTCCCTCTTCTTCCTTTTTTTGGGTCGTTCGTGTCCCTTTTTGCGCGGAGAATGGGAGGACAAGGTTTGTCGCCCATCTGCGGCGTGTTTACAGAGGCGGTTCCCGACAATGGACCGGGCCCATTGTTGGTCGTCGGCAACGGTCACAATATTCCGTGATATCTGGCTTTTCGATGGGGCCCCCCGAGTACACACGGCACCGCCGCGATCCCACTTTGTGATATATGCTCGGCGACTCGGTGACTCGGTGACTCGGTGACTCGGTGAAGGACCACCGCTGTTCACCATTGGCAGCTGTCTACTTTACACCCTCGTGACTACGCGCGATCTCTGCGATTTCGGCAAGCTTTGCCGGTCGAAAGTCAAATCCAACGGACACTCGTAAATATCGGTTAATAGGTTGCAGGTCTTTCCCGCATCGTTTACTGTTCATTGTTTCAAGCATTCGAAAATGATTCGTCAGACCTTTTCTTTGGTCGTCACGCGATCGCAGAAAAGGTCTCGAAAATCCCTTCGGATCGATCGACGGTTTCGCAGGGTAGTGACGTTTCTTCCATTGGTCGCGCGCGAGAACTCGTTTCATCGGGGAAAGGTTTCAATCGAATCTTCCGCGGCCGACCCGTTCGCCGATGCAGCAAGTTATTTATTACATTTGCGGACGTCTGGGACTCCGCGTCCAGAGATCCTAAAAATAGCTCGACGAGATCTCCGGCTTCTTTGAAACCTAATAAAACTTCGAATATAGGGAACAAGTTTTTATTCCGAGTGCTACAAACGACGGCAAAGGAAAGTCGTAGTCGGCGAGCGACTCGCCGACCCACCGTCGACCGCAAAGCGTGTCAAAAGCGTTCCGAGCGAGCGTCCGCCGGGTGGCATCTTCGCGCTTCGGAAGAGCGAAGAACGATCCGAAGAACAGCGTGAAACAATTCGGATTAAAGGCCCGAGGGACGACGACGACGACGAGACCCGTCGGGCCGATTCGCCAAAGTCGCGTCCCTTCTCGGAAGAAGCCGGGCCACGGATCCGTCGTTACGGTGACCGAATGCGGGAATATGGAAATGCCGTCGGACGACTGCGATACGCTTCGTGGATATTGGGTCGCCACCGAAAACGGGAGCAAACGCGATCCGGCAGACTCGCGGGCGAAGTCGGTGGCAAGGGGATTCCCGGATGGAATTTACAGCGGGACGAGTCATTTGAATAATTTTTATCGGTCCTCGGCTGAAACCATTGTCTTGTAAAGGACGGTCTGAAATATGGCCGTAGATACACGGAGGCAGCCAGTCAGTTTCTATCGTTCCGTTTCGCTCGCGCGGTCGGGGCCCTCTTCTTCTTCCTCCTCCTCCTCTTCCACTTCTTCTCGTTCCTCTCTTTCTTTCTCCTCCTTCTTCCTCCTCCTTCTTCGTCCTCCCCATCCTCCTCCTCGGGCTCACGAGCCGAAGGCGGCCGCTGCTTCAAAGTGAAACGAGGGTTGGGCTTTTTGGGAACCCCGAAGAGAGCTGGATGACACGACCAGCACGAGCGCGGGGGAGGGATTAACATTCCACGGGGGGTACGTGTACCTCGACGGGGTGAAGATCCGAGATAACGAGGCCTCGTCTTACTTTCGCTTTCCTCCTCCGATCCTGCGGACTTCTCTGCTCGTGGCTCGCTCTATCGACTCTCCGGTTTCAGCGAAACTTTCTTATCTTTCTGTGGAGTGGATTCGGAAATAGTAACGCTTCGCGTCGCCTCGACGTGCGAGGTAGCTAATTAAGAAGACGTTTTTCATGGAAATCGGAACGCGTTTCCACGCGGGTCCTATAGAACGAAAATTTTATCGAAATCTCCGATCGTTTGCGATCGACGCCGAACCTGTCGAGCGCTAAGAGCGACGGATCGAATTTATTTGGATTTCTCGCCGTTCGTTCGAACGCGGTAAACTCCAAAGTATCCTAAAGCCTTCTAAAGGAATCCGTTTGCAAATTTCGCGCGAACGTCCACGGTTTTTAACGAATCGCCGTCGAGTTACCGTTTTCAGAAGTTCGTGTACCGTTACGAACGAGCGCGTTCAGGGCAGACGGCGCAGCTCTTTGAAGCTGGCGGACAGAGACGGAGACGGTTCCGTGTAAAGTGTAAATCATCGGCTGGGAATGATCACGAAAAAGGGGTTGACGGAACAACCGATCCGACCGAGGAAAACGACCGGGCGTCGCCGTTTTACCTGGGCCTTCTTGTGAATCAACGTAAACGACCGACACCACTTACGGTTACGCCGCGCGGCTGTGGGAAACCGGTGATGGGAGATAAATTCGGGGACCTTTACGAGCCGCCCGGTCTCGGAACTGTCTCCGAATCGTTTCTTTGTCGTTCAGCTTCGTGGCGGAGAGATTGGTAATTAATTATTCGGGCTGGCCTTGCTTTGACGCATGGCTCGCGATAGGGACTCCCCGTCGGATGGTAACGGATCTGTAACGACGATGGTCCCGGGAAACGTTGCTTCGACGGGATTCCTCCGTTCCTCTTAGAATTTCCCACGGAATCGCGCGCGCGCGAACTCGGGAACGCGTCGACGAGACGTTCGCTGAATTATGCAACTTGCCTGAAAGTCGGTGATGTTGACGTTGAAGCCGGCGTTGTCGGCGAGGAATTGGCTCACGCGTGCCACAGATCCGTGGTCGACGAGCTCGAAGAAGCGCCTCTCCGTTTTATCCAAGCGCGGAATCACGACGCTGGCTCGCTGCAACAAAAACAAGCTCGTCGAAAATTATTCATAACCTCCGAGAAGCGTGCTCCGACTCTGGTCGATGTCACTCACCCTCCGCAATTTGTCGTCGCCCGGTTCAAAAGTCATTTCGTCTCGTCTTTCGATCTTTCGCTGCGGCAACTGTCGAGAGAATTTTCCATGCCGCGCGATTCGCTAATATCCGATCGAAGTTGCGCAAACGTGCGGAGAAAACGCTGCCCAACACGCAGCGATATTCCTGTAATTCCTTTTTTTTTTTCGAATTACGTTCGACGGACTGCGTCGTCAGCATTTCATCGATCGGTCTCTATTCGATTCGATAGAAATTGCGAGGCTTCGATTAATTCGAGTCGAATGAATTCTTCTTTAAATCGTTTAAGCAAATATCGCACCGATCAAAAGGTCCTAGGGAGGCAAAATTAATCGGAACGCGCCGTCTCTGCTCAGTTTAATGATTTAATTTCAATCTATCGATGGTGTATATACATAATTTATAATTTGTTGTTCCGCTACGTACAAATAATAATATAATATAATAAAATAAAATATAATAATATTAATAATAATAATATTAATAATAATAATTACTATAATATAATAATATATAATATATAAACTTCGAGGGAGGGGAGGATAACTTAGGTGTCGATGTAGCAACCGCTCCGGCGTGAAATAGTTGATTCCGATTCCCGTTCCGCGACCCGCGATAATTTTTCGCCCGATGCTCGAATCGCGATCATCCCCTAGCATCGTTCGATCGAGCAGCGAGGCGCGATGCGATGTTTCCGAGCGAGATTCGAATTGCAATTGAAAATTCGAATAAAAGTTCGACGGCGGATCGAGCTCGAGGCGGATGTCGCGGGAAACGGAGCGATGCCGCACAATTTCTACGGACAGAGAAATGGACAGAGAGAACAACGGACTATGTACAACGATCGATTCCCTTTCTCGTTAGCTTTTTCTGAAGCGCGCTTAAACTATTTCTGTCGGCCGCCACGAGGACGGGGACGTAATACTTTCTTCTTTTAGATTCAGTTACTTTAAAAAGGGAGTCGACGGGGCGCGGGGTGAGCTGGAGGGTGGGTTCGCAAAAGCAGGGACGGGGCGAAGAAGCGTCGAGCGACGACGAGAACGTCCGGACTTTCTACGAGTTAACGATCTTCCGATTCGAGCGGCGTCGACGACCGGAGAAGTTCGCGCGACCGCGGGAGCGTCTGCCTCTTCGCGAACGGGGACGAGAAGCGATTGAAAGGGACAGCACGTTGGATCGTCTCCGATCTACCTGGACGGACGCGCCATTTTGGAAACGCTGTTCGGAACGGTACGGAACAAAATCGCCGGCGCTCGTTAAATATTTCCCAAGCGTCCGTCGTCGAGCGATCACGGTGCGACGCTCGACGAAACGTGGAAAAAATGGGAAAATCTATGTTTCGCAGCTATTTTACACGCCGCGTCGAGAATCGCGGACACCGTGTTTCCAATTAAAGCGACGACGTTTCTCGTTAAATAAAGGCTGTACAGTAAAAAGACGCGAGTCCCGGATCGCAACGGCCCGGCGAATGCCGCCGTAAAATGGACGCCCATTAATTGGTCGAATTAGTTCCGATGTCAACCGGATCCCGTCGTGTCACAGTCACGGTTACGGTCACAGTCGAGTCGCGGTCACGGTGCGCGCGGTTCACGGCCGTTCGCCAGGGAACAAGGAGGGAGAAGACATTTATATTATATACTCGTATTGTACACACGCTAAGCTACGGTATCAAAAGCTTCGATTCTCGCTAAAGCTTCGTTTCACTTCGTTCGTCCTACATATCTAATATACTACACGTCACTCGGTGAACGGTGTGTCACTGGCCAACAAACTTCGTGGTCTCTTCAACGTTCGTTTCGTCAACGATTGTCCACGTGGTCGAGTACGTTCTCCGGAAAAGGGCGCAGGGAGAGAAAGAAAGGAAGAGAGAGAGAGAGAGAGAGAGAAACTAGATAGAGTATATTCGACTATAGTCGGCGCAAAGTCGGTTGGCCGTTCAAGGCCGGCGTTGGCAAGCTCCCCTTCCGCCCTTCCGCCCTTCCGCCGGATCGAGTCGCAGAGGTTCGATTCGAAATCGCTCGCAGAGCAGGAGGAATCGAGCGATTCGGTGGTCGCGTTCGCTCCTCCGTTTCGAATCCTCGCTCCGGGGCTTCCGCATCCGCAACGAGTCCAACGCTTTCCCGGACGCGTTTCACGGCCCGTTCGATCAAGAGCTATGAGTCCTAGTCGAGGAGGCTCTCTTCATTGATGATAGATCATCCTCGTGGGCGTGACGTAGGAGGACACCCAGTAGAGGAAGGACGCGTACCAGTGGATGCCCTCCTGCGCGGTCCTGGCGTCCTCTTGCCTGACGTCGGGCTGCCTCGTGTCCTCGACCGTCAGCCTCCTCGCGAAAAAGGACTTCACGCTGCTCCAGACCCGGTACGGAAGGAACGCGAGCTGCGCGTAGTCCTGGTTGTCGATGATCGCGTAGCAGGACGCCACCACGTCGTCCACCACGAGCGTGCCTTCCGTCGTCAACGGAGCATAGACGCCCTTCTCGAGGACCAGCCGGCTCTCCACCACCTTGTCCCATCGCAGACGGTGCTCCACCCCGTTCTCCTTCTCGTTCTCCACCGTCTTCGCTTTCTCCTCCTCCTCCTCCTCCTCCTCCGCCGCCTCCTCTTCGTCTGCCTCCTCTCGCTTCGGCTTCTCGCGGTCCGTCGGGTCCCTCACCAGGATCTTGTCGCCCGGCTGCACCCTTCCGGCGAACATCGACGACCCGCCCTCCACCGGCACCAAGTGCGCCGATGTCAAGGTCAACACGTGACCCGACTCCGTGCTCAGCCGCACGAACTGCCTCGTCTCCGTCAGCGACCGGTCCAAGAACGCTATCACCTCGCTGTAGACGATGTCGCCGCGAGAATCCAGGGCGGCGATGCGATCACCCAGACGCACCTGGTCCAGCCTCTTCGACATCCCGGCCTCCGTCCGCACGAGGCTCCTACCTGGAAAGCAGCCACCGGACTTCGCCGTCGACGAGGACTCTGCAAATTAACGAGTCGCACGATCAGAGGATGGCTCTCGAGTTTCGGGCATCGGCGGATCGCAGCGGCGAACCGATCTTTGTTTCGCTCCGATGGCCAACGAGAATCTAGCAGCCATTTTTTTCGTTATACGCGAACGATCGTGTCGGAAGACGATCTTTTACGTACATGGACTCTATTCGACCAAACGACAAGATGTCAACGTTTAAAGGATATCGAAGCGTGCTCGAATATGCGAATCGAAAGTACGCTGGGCGAACGGGCAGCAACGAGAACGTCGAAGCATCGAGAACGTCGAAGTTGACGGGCGTTTTCTGAATACTTTTCGTACATATGTATGTCGTCCGTGTTACAGTTCTGAACAGGATACCGTCGCGCCGCGTCGCGTCGTTCAATCGGGTAATCCGATCGGTCAGTCTCGCATCGACAGATCGGAGAAAAAAGATCATCGAGAGGATAAAACGCGAATGGAAACACGTGCAAGGAGCCATAGGCATGAGAAATTCTTGGTAATCACAGCTCTGGGACCGGTATCGATGTAATGGCGTATATCGATCGCGAGTTCCCCGGCAACGGTTGCGATTTCCCTGGGGAACTATGTCGCGCGACTCGCGCGGAGACGCGCCGAGCCGCGCCGCGAAGAGATTGAGCTACGGCGGCGGGGCCTCATTTGAATTTAAATTCCTCCGTGCGACACCATCGATCCGAGACTTATCGGACTGCTTCTCTGCGCGGGGACACCAGCCAGATACGCATACGCGCGCACACTTGGATACGCTTTCAGATTTTTGCACGAATCCGCGTTCGGTAAAAATTTTCAAGAACGATTCTGCCCGATTATTCAAGTATTCGATATGAAATTCTTAAGCCGTTATCGTTGCTCTCGTTCCGATTGCCACGTTTCCGCGCGCATTACCGCAGGACGCGTTTCTCGTTACGAGAATGTAATCCAAGCGCGTAATCGGTTTTAGACTCCGCATCGCGCAGACCGGTCTCGTCGAAACGAATCGGTGACGCTTTTTTAGCTGTGTGGGTCGCGTTGCACACGTGGGAACGCGGCTTTACGGGTGCGTTTATTTACGCCCTCGTGAAATTCCAGGCAAGATTGTTGGTAAATGCAAATGCCGCGAGACTCAATTTCCATGATCGCTCGGAAGCCGCCGTTTTGCGAACGGCTCTCGGCTCGGATCGGCGCGGATCGGCGCGCGACGGGGTCCGACGCGACGATCGCGATCCGCGAGTCGCGACTTGCGAGCCGCGAGCCGCGACCGCCGATGACTCGTTTCCATCGGAGTCCTGTTCGCCGGCTGGCCGGCCGACCGGCCTGTCTCCGAATATCGTTCTTTCGGCTCGTATCGATTTCGCGGCGATCGTTGCGCTGGAATCTAATTCGAGCGGACAGCCGCGCCTAGATTTATTGACATTTATTTTGAAACCCGAGCCACGGCTCGACAACGAAACGGGCCGATCGCCGCGTCACGGATTTTTCTCTTCTTCCTTTTTACTTTCCAATGGTTTTGTTGGTTTAGCGCGCGGCGGCGAGTTCGTCGGTCGCGGCTGGAAATCCGACCGATCGATCGCTTTTCGATGATGCTTGCGCAGGCGATCGGAGAAATTTCGAAACATCGATCCGGTACAGATTTTATTCGAACGCTTCGCACGCGATTTCTGTATATTTTCTATCGAATACACGTTTTCGTAAATTCTTTTCAAAATATATTTCCTACAATCAAAAAATTGATTTTTATTAATATACGCGTTTTCTCGCGGTTTAGAAATTTAAATATATCGTCGATTACGTTGGAAAGTCGAGGTTTAGTTTGAAAATTGTTTAGAGAGGAAAAGCTACACCTTCCTCGAATATAATTTACGCCAGCAGTCGGACAAATAACAAAAGAAAATATTTCTGCTTGGAAGCTAGATTAGAACTTTGACTTTTTCGTCTGCTATGCATTGGTGTTTGCAAAAATATAGAATTCCAGCGACAAGTGCGCTACCAACGACTCCCAGCAGAACATCCTCGAAGCAGTCTTCGAGATCTATGAAAGTCGATAAAACAGTCCGTTTCTCGTTACCGGAAGAGCGATTGGCGCAGCGTGCGAATGATTTTCGCGAAGCCGGAGTGATCGATGGAAAAACTTCTACCGAATGAAACAGTATTAAACCGTAAAGATGATTTCTGGTTTCGGAAATGCCTACAGTTTCGTGCCGGAACGTTTCTGTTCATTGCGTGAAACGTTTGAATGACGGAAAGATACGATTATGTGCACTAAAATGAGTCACGACTGTCACGAGCGTTACGGTCGTCGGAAAGATCGATTTAAACTTCGGACGATAAAACGTCGATATCTTTTCCCGGTATCGGTGAATCGTAGACGTTCCGCGCGATTTAAAGAGGAATTAGATAGCCCGTAGTACGAAGGCTGCCGATAAAATCGATACGTGACTCCTGCCAAACGTTGCTTTGCCGGATAACGGATGAAGCGAGCGTGACGAGGCGGACGAACGCGGTTTCCCAGGGGAGCGTGGATTAATTGCGATCGTACGCGCGTCGGCGGTGTCAGTTTCGAGATTGCATACTTTGTACTCGTTCGACGGAGCGAACGCGGCGCGAGAAAATTCGTAGATCGCGTTTTCCCGTCGCGATATTTCTCGTCGATCGTGAGAAACGAGAAGAAATTCGTGAAACTTTCGAAGGCGTGTCTCTAAAAAAAGAGAAAAGTTGTCAAAGGGAACGCGAGAACGGCTATTCGAACGACCGATTGATCGCGCGACGGTGGTATAAATAACAGAGAAGAAGCGGAGATTGAGAAGATACTGACCAGATTTGACGGAGCAGTGGATATGCGACCTGGACTCGTAATAAACCCAATCGAAACCAGCTTCGACGGCGAGTCTGGCCAGCATGCCGTATTTAGAGCGATCCCGATCGCTCGTTGTCACGTCGACGGCGCGTCCCTCGTAATGCAACGAGTCCGTGGCGTGCTTCCCTTCCTCGTCCCAGCCTTCCGTCACCCTTAGCTTCACCCCTGGCCACTGGTTCATTACCGAGATTGCGAGGGTATTCAACTTCTCTTTGCACCTCTGTAACAGAACACTTCCACGGTTATTCGGTCGATTGCAGGAAATGCGGCGGTCTAAATGTCAACGGCGTCGTCGAGCAATCCTATCGCAGACGCGGCGAGAAGCATTTGTTACGGGCTCGTTTTCTTACGGGTCGCCGGGAATCGTTCCGTCGAATCTAGGAAAGAAACCGCGCGAAGAAAGATGGAAAGTTTGCGGCAACACGGAAAGGAACGCGGCTCCGGAGATCGGAGGAGGCTTCACGGGGTGCAGATCGAATCCCGGGGCACGATTCCTCGTTCCGGCTGAAAGAGGAGGCCGGGGCTTAGGCTTTTCATCGAGCCTCCGCCTGCCTCTGGGACGGTGTTTTCTCGAAGTTCCGCTTAACGCGATTTTGCCGTGTTGTCGACGGAGGCGGGCGAGGTTCCCAGCCGAAAAATGCGGCGATTTCACGCGGATGCGCGCGGAAAAAAGGATCGTGCCGCGGGGCCAGGTATAGGTGGGCCCCGCGGTGCCGGAAAACGAACGCGTGTTTCGACCGGTGACCAGGGTCGGCGGACACAGGAGGGCCTTCGAGGGGGCTGTTCGAGGATCCCGGCTGTGGCGAATCAGGAGGCAAACAGGAGTATAAATACGACCGGTGTCGGGGATCGTTCGGTCACGCCGATCTTCTCCCCGTTTCCTTCGTCTCTCTCTCTTTTCCCGACTTTCTGCCCTCTCGGCCGTCTACCTGGCTGGAAGCCGAACACTGGAGTCACCGGAGCGACCGGCAAACCCGACGTCGCGAACAATCGAAATCGGTTTGCGACGCGCCTCCGCGCAAGATCGCCCGAGTCGGTTGCGAGGCACGCGAGTCGAACATAATACTATATTTTGCCTCTTTTTGGGATACGACGATCGAATCGCTTCCTACGAAAGAGTCTTCGTAATCTCGGCAACTTTGCCATCGGAAATACGAAACCGGACGCTTCGACGGACTCGGCAGGTTCGGCGTTAACGCGTCGGCTCCGCGCGGTTATTCGATCGAAATCGCAGTTTAGCGGAACTGGCGGGAACCGGATGGACGGTGACTCGAGAAGCACCGCGTAAACCGTGTCAGGCATAATCCGGGGGCGCGAGAAAGCCAACGGACGATGCGACGGTGCCCGCGCGGCATTGTCGGGGCCCGTTCGAACCGATTGTCGCGGGGTAATCGGCCACGCTGGGTCGCCTCCGCCTCGTGCGCCTCGACGAGCCCGTACAAGCGGCTCCCTCGGCGGCCGGGTTTATTCTTGGCAGGGCGGCCGCGCGGAAGAAGCTAATTCCCGACGGTCTTTTCGCCGCGTGAAAGTCGCCCCGATTTTTCTGCGGTCGATCGGTCATCGACGAGCCGAGCAGGGAGCCCGGCGAAAGGCGGAGTCGCCTTCTTTTCAACGAATCGATGTTAGGGGTTGCCCGACCTCCGCGCGGATTTTCTTCAACCTCACGGTTAAAACTCTCGGGGGATGGATGGGGTTGGCACATTTTCTTAGGAGGATCTTATCGTCGTTTTCGGTGAGATGCTTCGTTAAAACCATTCCTCGATGGTTCAGCGTTGCGACGATCTTCTGCGAAATGAACTGCCAAGCGATTTTATGAATCGAACAGTTCGTGAACACGAGTGTCCAGCCTTCCTGATACTCTTGGCTCGGGGTGTAAATCGCTTTAGATTCTTCCAAGGTTCGAAGCGATGTTCGACGATTAGCCGTGCTCCCTGCGTCCGCGAGCGGAGCGCCGATTCGATCGCGCGCCGCATCCTTTCATTGAAATTCCGGGTGAAACTGGGTCCGCGGGCCGCGGACCCGGACAATGCGGTTCGACAGTGAGCACGAAACGAGACGCGGCCTCACAATACCACGAATTTGCAGCTCTCCTTGCGGCAATTAGCCCCTATTGAGCGTTGCACGACAGCTCGAGGGACCGGTCCTGCCCTCCCCGCGTTCCGCCTTCGTTCTTCCTTCGTTTTCCCTTCGCCCCTCTCCTCGCCGCATTCGTATTCGCGTTCGCAGCGAAGGCTTCGCGAATCCTCCTCGCCGGGCGAAAAGCCGCGGACTCGCCGCTCTCGGCTCGGCTTCGTTCCGCTCCGCTCCGCTTTGCTCCACGGTCCGCGTCGCGGCCACGTGCACGCGATCGCCGCGAGCGGATCGCACGCCCATCGGCTGTCGGATGAATTCCCATTAAGCCACCCGGAGGCCCGCCTCTGAATGAAACGGGCCACGCCGAGTCGCGCGGCGCTTATTCGAGAGACGCGACGCATAACCACGGTGTCACGATATCGCGTTCAATAGCGGGCCTTAATTCCCTCGCTTCGCCTTCCCCGGCGACCTCGCGCCGAATTTATCGCCGGCCCGATGTCCAAACCGCCAAGCGATGACGCGTTGTTTTTTACAAGTAAAGCAAGATCGAGCGAACCGCTTCGCCAAAATTGTTGCGCAAACCCGAAACGGTTCCCCCGAAAACCCGCCCCGATACGTCGCGAGCATCGGTTCGAATCCTAAAAGTTGCGCCCGTGACACCGCGTTTTCGTCGGAAAAACGGCCATATGCGGCGTCGTGGAATAATCGCAGAATCACTGGAAGATAATCGATGGGCCATGGGATCGTACACCCTCGGGAACAGCAATTTGTCACCGAACGACGCGGGTCCGTTAGAAAGGATCGGCGTCGCACGGTTATCCGAGGATTTCCAGGGAATTCGCGCGCGAATAACGTTTCCCGGGAGCAGCCGATCCCGCGCAAATTTGCATAACGAAGATGTGCGGAGGACAAACACATTGTGTCTCCATCCCGGCGATTTATCATCGCTTCCGAAGAGAGACCGTGTTTGTACTGCCGTTAATAATTTGCACGGCCAACAATAAGGTATGCCGAAGCACGTCCTCGAACACACGCGCGCGGCTCCCATGTGGAAACGTTTGATTTTTGAAAGAAAGGACGGAGAAATTACATACGAGAGGCTCGCCGCTAGGCGAACACTGTGTCCACATATTGTAAGCTCGGCTAATTTATGTCCCTATTGCTTGCAAACATGGCGTCGTTACTTGTACGCCATCATCGAGTCGTTTCTCATTAGATTCCTGCACGGACAGGTTGCTTTCGATGAGACGGGAGATCCGACGAACTCTCTTCGTCGTGTTCCGCGCATCTTTATACCTTCGATCGGGTATTCGCGAAGTTTTGTTCCGTTGCTCGATCAACATTTTCAAATATCAGTTTCTCAGAATTTCCCGATTCGAAAATTGTTTCGGAGTGTCCCGGCAGTTTCTGAAATTTGATTTAAAAAGACAAAAGCTACGAGAAAGGACGAAGAGAGAATCTCGGAGACGACAAGAAGCTCCTCGAGGATCTAAAAAGACGGCGAGCAAGGAAAGCGGGAGAGAAGCGCGGAAATTGAATCGGACATGAGAAATCGAGGACCGGCAACGAAAGAGGAGGAAGAAGAATCGAGCGGGCAGGAATTAAAAAAATAAGGGATGACTAATAACGAAGAAAAAGAAGATCGGGTGGAGGGAGGAAAGAACAAAAGGAGAACGAAAAGGCGAGTGGGAGGATAAGGAACGGAGAGGAAGAAACGAGGAAGGAGAAAGAGGTGGAAGAAGTACAAAGGGAGGGTGGCTGTGATGTAGCTTCGTATAAAGAGAGGGAAGAATGGTGAAGAGCCCGAGAAATGTACGCGGTGCCGACCGCGGTGCACGATGGGGCGCCTTGTTCACCCAGCGGGGCACCCGGCGAGCCCCTCCCAGACTTTACATCTATTTACAAACATTTTGGCGGACAGGAGATAGAGTGAAACGGAGAATGGTATAGAATGCGCGCGGTTGGGCAAAGTCGAGAATGTCGGGCCTTATGAAAATCCATTTCGGGTGAAAAATGGCCCGGCCCGTAATCCATTAGGGGCACGAGGCAGGAGGGGGCCGGAACGGGCTGGAGACAGGGCTGAGAAAAGAGGGCCACCGCGAACCGCGCGCGGAATGCCCGCGAAATCGCGCGCGCGCGCGCGGCAGCGCGGACGTTACGAGGATAATTAACGAAGCCAAAGTATCTTCAAATTTCATTTAAAACGAACTCTCCGATCGTTGGAGCGATCTTGCAACGAGAGGAATCTCGCCAAAGGTTATTCTCGGAACGGTTGCGCAAGTGGAGTGACAAAAGTCCACGGAAATCGCTAGAAAGTCGAAGTAATTAATATTTATTCCCTGCAGCGGCGCGATGAAACACGATCCGGTGAAAAAATGAGTTTGCGAAAGGTTAGTGAAAGTCCTAGATGGGTTTCAGGCGGCCCGAAGCCTCGAAGTCGTCCAGGTGCGGACTCACGCTTCCAGACATCCGATTCCTCTCGGGTTTTTAGCACGCGTGTAACATTCGTAACGATATTACGTCGACCGGTTCGACGCTGGTCGCGTTCGGTTCCCGCAGGTTCTCTCGCAGGTTCCGACAGGTAGAGCGAACCGGCGAAATTTTCCAGTTCGCGATTACGGCCGAAGGGCCGGACGAAAGGCGAAAAGCAAACTAGTTTTCGCCGGATGACGAACTGGACGCGACAGGTATAACGTCCACCGTGGCTCGGGCACCTCGAGCGCCTATCTCCGGCGCATCTCTCACCTCGATACCCGTTAATTATCGAGCGTCTATCACTTACACCTCGTTTACATGCGCCGTATCTTATCTCGTGCAGCAGACCGGCGTGTTAATGCCCGCGCGGCCGCTAGTTAACCAGCGAGCAATTTCAATTCCGCATTTTCAATCAGCGTCTTCTCCGCCGGGACTCGCGGAACCCGGTCTTTCTCGATCGCAGGCAAACGTATGCAAACGGATTCGTCGATTATCTCCGTTGCACGAAACCGTAGCTACGTGGAAAAAGTCACCACCCGATGGCCTCGCCGAATCACCGGCTCGATAAATTTTCGAAAAGAATCTCGTATTCCTATCCACCGTGAACGTATCGAGCTGCTTCGTCGTCGATTTTCAGCAAAATTCCGAACGAACATTTTCAGCAAAAGAAAT